TTTGAGACGAGGTCTCACTGAATCACCCAGGCTGGTCTGTCTCAGCTTCCTGAGAAGCTGGGACTACAGATGTGCACTACTGTGCCCAGTGAGTGATTAAAAAATAAACAAACAAACAAAAACTTAGGGGATGGTGTTCTTTACCAAGATGAGGAAGCTTGGGAGGGAGCAGATATGTGGGAGGGGGATATCAACTATTCTGCTTTGGCCATACTAATTTTGAGACACTTACTGAAAATCTTTCTAGGAATGTTGAGAAGGCATATAAATATAGGAGTTTAGGCCTAAGTGTCCTTCTGGACTCATTTCTCACTATTGGCCCCATGTGTCTACATGTTCTAGCCATACTTTTGCATATACTGGTACACTGTTCAATGCATGAAGTGTGTTAAGCCTCAGAAGGAAGACACAATGGTTCTCGTCCTTCACTGGGTCACTCCTGACCAGTGATATTTGACATTTACTCCTACTACCTCTTGGGTTTGTTATCTGTGTGCTCTTTCTGGCCGGCTTCAGGGTGAGGAGTCTAATCAAGAAGCTCCATTACCTCTTTGTTATCTGTGGTATGTTTTGGTCTCTTGGCTCTGGGTTCCCCAGCAGCATCTTCGTCAGATGATCTCCTCCTTTTACCTTTTCCTGCCAAATAAAACAAATCAACAGTTAGGTTATATACCATCTAATGAGAGAAATGACCAAACAAATCAACAGTTAGGTTATATACCATCTGATGAGAGAAACGACCAAACAAATCAACAGTTAGGTTATATACTATCTGATGAGAGAAACGACCAAACATGAGGGCAGGTGTATTTTCACCCCAAAGGCTACCTGTAGGTTAGAGCTGTTTAAGAGGCTGAAGAACTAAAAGAAATGCTTTCTTTTTCCCTCAAACTGGTCCTCCTCCAAAGCTTCCTTTCAGTAATGGCATCATTATCCTCTCACATGTGCAAGTTAGACACACAGATGTTATTTTTGATACCTCTCTCTTTTAACTGTTTCTTATTCTTTTCCTTTTTTTGAGGTAACAGGGATCAAACCCAGGGTCTTGTACCTGTTAAGCAAGTGCTCTTCCACTCAGCTGCATCCCAGCTCTTTTTATTTTGAAATAGGGTATTGCTAGGTTGCTCAGGCTGGGCTTGAACTTGGGATCCTCTTGCCTCAGCCTCCTGAGTAATTCACTACTTCTACATCAATTTTCCACCAGTCTGTTTTCGTTTACTATTTGCCTCATCCTCCTATCCTTTCTGTAGATAGAAAAATATTTCAGAAATGTAAATTAGATCCAGTGATCCTGGAGGCTGAGGTAGGAGGTGCAAGTTCAAGACCAACCTCAGCAACTTAGCAAAAACCTAAGGACTTAGTGAGATTCTGTATCAAAATAAAACATTAAAAAAAAAAAAAAGGGCTGGGGATGGGGCTCAAGTGGTTAAGTGACCCTGGTTTCAATCCATGGTGCCCCTTGCCCCCACCAAAATGTAAATTAGGACATGTTAATTCCAAGCTTAAAAATCCTTAGAATAAAGCACAGGTGCTGTATAAGGTCTTGCTTGACTTGGCCACTGCTTATTGCTCTGACCTGATACTTCTCTTTACTTTGTTCATCTTGTTCTAGCTACTTTCTTTTATTTCATAAATGCCCAGTTTTTTTCCTTATTGCATACTAATCCCTTTGTTAAAAATGCTTATTCTCTATTACCTCATTGGTTAGTTTAAAATCTTAGCTCAAAATCTTGTTTCAAATCTAAGCTCCAATTTTGCTTTCTCAAAGAAACATGTGCCCTAACCCCATGCATAACTCTACTCTCCCATTATATATTTATTAACATCTTTTACTTCTCCTTCACAGTACTTATCACAGTTTTTTTTATATATCTATGTGATTGTTTGATTAGTGTATATCTCCTATACTTCAATTTAAACTCCAGTAGGGTAGGAATCATGGTTTTCTCATTATTTTATACCACAATGTCTGGCACTGAGTGAATACTTGGTAAATGCTCAATTGATTCATTCATTTAACATTTATTAAATAAGAATGCACCATGAGGGTATTATGGTTCTATGTTCAAAATCTCTTACCTATCAAGCTCAATTTAGGAACCAGGTACATGTCCTTTTCATTAACAACAAGGGTTGGGGCAGGTGGTGGTGGTCCAAGATCTGAATTCTCAATGGTAGGCACTAAGGGACAGCGCTGTACAAAGTGTGTATCTGCCAGTCGCACAAACGTGTTTGATACCTCAGCATAGTCCATGGTCTTGCCGTCTGTACAACAGAAGGAAAGAGGGAGGTCAGATGGCCTGAGATGACAGCTCATTCCTTTAGTCAGCCAACCGATGCTCTTGCTGACAGATATACTGCACTTACCCTCCATGGTTTCTGTGAGTCGGTCTGCCACTTTCTTCACAACAGCGGACATTGTCATTTTGCCATTCAACAGCAGCTCCTCGACAATCAGCTCTCCAGTGTCGCTGTAGAGTGTTTTGGTAGTATAGATGTACCGGGGATATCTAAGCATTCGCAACACCCGGCTGCACTGAGCTTCATACTCCACCACACCACGTTTATGCACTTGATATATCACCAGGTTATGTTGGATCAGGACACAAAGGGCTTTTTTCACCTAGATAGAATTCAAAAGAGAGACCTGGAGACAGAGCTCATAACTGCTGGCATTTTTTCCCCCTATAGTTTACTAAACATCAGCGGATGGCTAGATAAGAATTTCTGTTCTTATTTCCTCTCTGTTGGAGTAGCTAATAACAATCAAACATCAGTAGAAGAAATCAGGAAGATTCCTTGCTATGATGTATATATTTTCTCTGATCTTTAGCTTTCACATAACGATTTACTTTCCTTCTATCATTCTTATTATTACTTAAAGGTAGTACTGAGATTAATAGATTGATTATGAAAAAATGAGATGTAGCATGGAAAGAATAAAGATTTATTTAGTCACAGTGATCTAGGAACACTCTGAGAAACAAAACCTCAGGGCTGAAGTATCACCCTCTGTCCTGAGTAGGCTTTTCCACTTCAACTTTTTAGGATAAGAAGCAAAAATATTCCAAAAGTTGGTGGAAGACATTAATGAAGTAAATTAAAGATAGCAAAATGATGTCATCTAAACATACCTGATCCAGTGATGTTCCCGTGTCATGGGCAATTACTCTAAGTGGCTGGCTGCCAGTTCTGATTAAGTGAACTCCAATTTTTTCTACAATCTCTCCAAAATGCTCTTTTAGCAACAAAGAACACAGTTTAATTTCCGCTTGAGTCATTGTACTGGGGAGTCTCAGAACTAAGAAAAACAAGAATGTAAATTCATGTATTTTTTTTGGAGGGCAATTTGACAATACATATGAAAAGCTTTAAAATATTACACATATATGACCTCACAATTTCATTTTGGATAGTGTTCCAAGGAAATAAAGACATCGTTCATTTTCTTTATAATACTGACATATGGAAACAACCCAATATCTAACTACAAATTATGGTATACTTATGTACAGATGAGGCAGGACACCAGATAGGAAACAGGAAGCAGGTTCATTTGGCTGCAGCAAGGTTCAGAGGGCACAGCTTTCGCTGTAATCAACTAATCCCCCTGAAACTCAAGTTCAGGCAGTTTCAGAACTTTATACCCAGTGTGTAAGGTGAAGGGCTCAGAAGTTCACACAGAAGCAGCTTTTCCTTTCACTTTTCTGGGCAAGTTAACTCTTCAAGTCAGCGACTGACAAGGGGAGAGCTTCTTCTCCCCTTTCTTCCTTCCCCCTGCCAGCTGTTACCATGGAGCCCAATTAGTAACCTTTTCTCCTTGAAATGTGAACATCTGTGTGAAGCTCTGGCCCAAAGCCAGAGGCCTAGTTAAAATAATCTGTTTTTCTTATCAACTCTGCATTTGCAGGCACACTTCCCTTGAAAACCTTTACAAACTGGGCTGGGGTTGTGGCTCAGTGGTAGAGCGCTTGCCTAGCATGTGTGAGGCCCTGGGTTTGATTCTCAGTATTGCATATAAATAAAATAAATGTTCCATTAAC